CCCCCCCCCCCCTGGGGCAGTTATTTTCAAATATTTTAATCATGTATAATATTGTTTACTGAATAGTATTAATGATAGATTATGATAAAAAATTAATCCATATAAAGATTAGCCATCCCTAAAAGTTTATTGAGTTCAAACCTAAATTTTAACCTATCTTAAAAATGGATTCAGGCTCCAACCTAATCATACTATGTAGTATTACATACTAGACCCATTCAATGTACCAAGAAATACTTATATGTACAAATATAGTTCATGACACTTCGAATTTCGAACAATTCAAATGACATCTCGATTGTTGAGTGGGCAGCTTGCTCTCTTTTACTCGATCAACGTTTGAGGTGTCGTGATTTGATTGATTTAACATTCAATATATGTGATTTTAAGTGAATAATACAGCATGCATATATATAGAACCGTCTTATTGAAATATTTTTTTCGATACTAGCCCATCTACCTACCCACACCCCCCTGGGGGCAGATATTTTAAAAAGTTTAAGAGGATTTGAGGTGGGAAGGTTGTGAAGGTGGACTAGAAAACATGATAAGGAAACAAAATAAAAATGATGTTAGTGATATGAAATGATTAGAGCTTAGGAATGTTTGTGTGTGTTATGTTGTGGCTATTTCAGACCGTCACTTTCGGGCTCTGACTCTGAGACACTGTATCCGCACGCTCGTTTGCCGCGTGGACCCTACTGGTTGACTCTTTTTATTTTTCAAAACCATTAAATTAAATAAATAAGTCAAAATAAGGATCACCACCAACTTCGGCCCATCACCGCCTGCCGCCACCCCCTCCCCCACTCACTTCTTTCTTTTTCACCATATTATTATTTAATAATTTATTGGTTGAAAATGATTTGACCCTTTGGACTTTTATTGTAGATAGATTTATAATTTTAATTGCTTTTTTTCCAATTTGAATTTGATATAAAGGTAGTAACATTGTAGACATAAAATAAGAACTAGTCATGTATAGTTAGGAATTATCTTTAAATGAAATTTAGAAAAAAAATTGTAGTCTCGCGACCCCCACCTACTATACCTGTTTTTGGAGGGAGATTTTGTTAAGTTGTAAAATCTAATTATTCACACTTCTACTTTCGATTTTATCATAATTTTTCTATAAATAAAGAAACGTCATTACGATTTTGTATAATCATAAAAAAGAGTAAGAGATGCTATATCTTGTAATTTTTTTTTTCATCACAGTAAATTAATGCAGCGTTGACGAGACCATAGTCTCACAATAAGACGTGCCTCAATAAATTTTGTATGTTCTTGTATTTCTATTTTCTTACCGTAATTTTATTGTTTCTGATGATATAGAATTTATGCTTTTAATTCTCAACGGATTTCAGTGGGAGTACTTAATTTGTATGCTTTTGGTATTATCCCTTATTATATATTGAGAATTTTAGGAGTATGGGATCGAGTATGAACATATGCATAATGGATAGGTGGTCCTTTTTAAATATAAAACGAATGTAGACATCTCAAGAACAAGTTGTATGAGGATTAATGACAAATTGATTTGAAACTCTAGTTGTTCAAATTTCTATTTTGTCACCAACTTCAAGGACTCCGTATTTGATTTAGATCATAGCTTTCTGAAATTAATATGGTGGCATTAGTCACTGATATTGACTCTCCCACTATATGAGAAATGAAAACTTTCTTTTATGAAAACTTTTTTTTGTTTACTTTTAATTCACTTATTTTCAAAAACATTTAAATTAAAATTTCTAAGATAGTGATTTCAAAACCATCTACTCAATTATAAAATGTTATAAATGCTTACTTATGAGAGAATATATCTCCATTGAAAAAAAGTAACCAAAGTGTGTTTTTCATTTTTCTCATTACGTCGGTCGTTCGTAGAAATTTGCTCGTGTTGTGTGAAATACTACTCGATTGTCAATTCAACTTATAATCCGAAACATAATTAATATAATAAAATCTTAGCTACTTGTTGGTCAAGATTGAGTCCAATTACACAAATATTATTGCTGACTTTATTCTTGAAAATTTTCTAGACTTTGCAAAAATAATTGTTTTGAATACAGAATTATTTTGTGGGCATGACGTAAAAATTTTGTCTTGTATTTGAATAGACAGTGTCCAAGAAAGCTTATTTGTCTAAGCAAGGGATTAAATTTCCAAATGCCATTTCCTTTGAATTGTCTAATCACCCTTAAAAAAAGTCAACCTCGAATTCTGGTCATTAATTTCTTGGTTTTGATAGTATAAATACTCAGATGCAGCAAATCGTTTTAATTTCATTTAGTTGAAAAATTATAAAACCTAATTAAGAAGAGAGGCGGCCTTGCAAAGGATAAGCATCTGAATCAAGAAAAAGAGAGAACCCTACTTTTAGTACTGAAAAAGGAGAGTTCAATTTTCAGACACGGCCATGGCAGATGAATTTCAGATAGGAAGTGGAGGAAATTGGTGGGATACGTCAAGAAACAGATTTGAAACTGGATCGTCAGAACAAAAATCTACTGCTTTAAATAGCGTATCAAGCTTTGGATGGACGAACGAAATGGTGGATGACAAAGCAAGGTCTTCTATGGATACCACCGGGACAGTTCCCGGTAGCTCCATGATGTTGCAAGGGCACGATCAATCTTCTGGTGGCGGCTTATTAGTCGACACAAATATGCATATGATGGCTTTAGGCCTTTCTTCTCAAGCCATGGATTGGAACCAGTCCATATTGTAGGTCTAATATTTGATTAATTTTAGTTTAACTTTTACTTTTCCAGTAATTATTTTCTTGTATGAATGAAATTTCTTCTGTCTGTTGACAGTCATGGAGGTGAAAAAGCGGAGAGCAGTTTTCGTTCTATGCTTCAAGAAAATTTGAGTAATTCAAATAGCAATTTTCAGCAAGAAACTGGGACAGCATCTTCTCAAGATCAGTGGAGGGAGAAAATATATTCTGCAAGTTCTGAGGATTCTAATGTGAATGAATACAAGCAAATCAACCGGGTTTTTCCGTTAGATAATACCTCGGATGAAAGCCAGCAGGGTTTAACCACCAGTTTTCCGGTGGATTCCGCTGCCGCCTACGGCCTTCTACTATCTGAAAATCAACCACAGCATACTACATATGAGAACAGGCCCATGAATTACCATTATCCAACGAACTACGGATCGAACACAGGAGAATGGACGCCTTCTTGGAACAAAATTCCTCAGACATTCTTAAGAACAACAGTACCTCCAAAACAGCCTTCTGCTAATATACATTTCACCAATAAAACTCCCTTCTGGAATGCACCGGGAACCGATGATGTTCGACCAAACTTCTTTTCCTCGTTGCCAACGCCACTTCCTATGCCGGCCTTGGATGAAAAACCAAAGGTATAATAAAATGTTATGAAAAAGTATAGCTAGGGTTCCTTGTTCTTGTTTAAGATAGTGAAATTCATGTTCATTATTTTTCCCAAAGATTACATCAGAAGTTCGGGATTTGAGTACAACAGCAAAGAAAACTAACACTGAATCATCAAATAAAAGACTCCGGAATGAAACGCCAACACCTTTGCCAGCTTTTAAGGTAAGCACAACAAATTTATTGAGGAAAAGTTGAAATTTTGATTATCTTCAGCTTTTCTTAATTCATATAAACAATTAACGAGAAGATTGCTTTGTTCGTGATTAGGTGAGAAAAGAGAAGATGGGAGACAGAATCACTGCACTTCAACAATTAGTTTCACCTTTTGGAAAGGTATGTTAAGAATTCCGAAAATCTTCTTCACGCTATGTCGATTTTTTAATAGAAAACTTCCATGTATAATAACTAACTATCGAATCCGATTTCTCAGACTGATACGGCTTCCGTGCTTTCTGAAGCTATCGAATACATAAAATTTCTACATGATCAAATCGGCGTAAGTTTCATAGAACATATTTCATTAATCGTAGAATATTTCCGGATAGAATGAGCTCATAAAATCAAGGTTTTTTACTAATAATATTTGTTCTTTTGTATAATGTCAGACTTTAAGTGCCCCATACATGAAAAGTGTTACTCCAATACAACCCCAGCAGGTACAGAAATAGTTAGTTAATTTTTTGCATCATATTAAATTTAGTTTAATGCTTATCAAGATTGAAAATCTTTTATATTTCCTTCCTCATTTTTTCAGAATTCTGATAAATCAAAGGCTCCTGATCAAGGACCGCGACAAGATCTTAGAAGTCGAGGGCTATGTTTAGTACCGGTTTCATGCACTTATCCGGTTGCTCATGATACGACGGTCGATTTTTGGACCCCGACATACGGAGGAACTTTCAGATAAGACAAGAAGCACAAGAAGGCAACATTAACAGTGAGGAATGGAACCTAATTTTATGCAGCGACTGCCTTATTTGAAACCCTAGCTAGCAAAGAATAGGAAATATTGATAAGGTAGGAAAACTGTGGACCTCCTGACTTTGTACCCAAAAAAGAAGGCTGAAAAAATGCTCAAGGATAAAGGAAAAAAGTATATGCCCCCATTAGAAGATAGAAGAGTGTTGGGCCAGCTACAGGCAAAATGATTCAGCTTTGGCTACAATTAGGGACCATTAATGTATGCAAATATAGTCTTTTAATAATTGATGAATTATTATTAATGTTTGGTCAGCTAGGATTAGATTAGAAACATTATAATTTTTTCTTTGTAACTGAATTTAATTAGCAGAAAGGGAAAGGGTAAATGAGCTTTTGTAGCAGGCCTGTATCTTTTGATATATTGCATAAAGCTGGCATTAACTTTAGTTTAAAAGAAAATGAAAGGAATAATTGAATTCCAGAACAGGATTGTGTGTGTGGATCATATCATTTGATTAGAAATCTCACTTTTGAATTGTTTATGTCTGGAATATGTTAGTGGAAGTCAGAAGGTCGCCCTTTGCCCCTCCCCACCCCCCACCCCACATGGGCGTGACAAAGTCGATAATTCCCGCAACATTTTCAAATTTTTTCGAATACATGTGATACTTATATATTTTGTCCCTTCAACATTTTTACATCTTCTTTACCTGGAAATCATGACAATATCACTGACCACTACCCGTCCAACCCGACACCCTCTTTTACGATTTTGTATATTTTAGATTTATTCTATCTTAAATAAGAAAGGGAATAGGACATATATATCAAGAGAAGTAGCTATCAACCATGCCTTTGTGCTTTCCGTCGAATGGCCACATTGAAGTGCTTCCATTGGAAGGTAAAGGGAAGTTGCCTGATATCATCTCTTTTCTGCCTTATTTTTTAAATTTGAGGAGAGATCCATTTCTTTTACATCTCCTATTGGTTAGTTTTTAAAGAATTATACGGTCCCCATTGAAAACTTTTGCAAGAATTCTTAAAGAATTTTGTACGAAATATGCTCGATCAATTTAGTAATCATAAACTTTTAAGATGATTCCTTTCCCGAGAAAGTATAGCACAGTCTTGTTATCAATAAATATGAGTTTAAATAATTTAAATATGATCACGTCAACTCAAGTTAGCATTGCATCTCAACACATGACCATTGAATGTAACGCTTTTAACATCTTAGCTAAGCAGACCCACAAAGTAGAATTTGCTTGGTTCTTCCAATATTTAAAGGACGCCCTGATTAAAATTAGTTTCTTTTTCAATCAAGCTCAACGAATTTTGTATATAAAACGACAAATACTCTTTAAGATGAAGGAGCTAGAAAGCTAATTGTGCAAATATTTTAAGTAAAGAGGATTTTCAAAATTATTATTTTAGATCATTTGATAAGTAGTTTTTGATCAGCGAACTCAACATACACCAATTTTGCACATGATTTTTTGAGTGATTTAACTTGTGTTTACTGTTCTTTTAGATTAATTTGAATGAAAAAGTCACCACTCAATATTTGTGACCATTGAAAGTGTTGAATTAGAAATATTTAAATAGATTCATTTTTTTTATCTTTGAAACAAGAAAAATACATATTTGTATTATATGAAATATTCACTTCTTTTACAATATTTTTTTGTTCGTGGAAACTTATTTTTATTCGGTCATTCTGCAGAGATATAATAAAAACCTTCTCTATTATTGAGTTTGTTCTTTATGTTTTGATTTTATCTTCGTTTCCATTGTATCTTAGACGCATATTTACCTACGCAAATGCGTCACAATAATAGTGTGAAGTAAAAGACATCTTACAAAAGGTGACGCAATAGCGTATCTTGAAACTCTTTTTATACTATTAAGGTTTTTGTAGCATTCCAAAGTGATCTCTAACTTCGAGTGTGCGCAATCATTTTCAACCATCTGAATCAACAAATATTTATGACGTAATGTTAGCACCATAATTATAATTTTCTGTTTAGACTTAATAAATTATAATTTATCATATAGCATCATTTCTTCCAATAATCAGTCATCAAGTACACTGAAATATTATTAGTTTCTATTTATTGAGTCCCATTGGAGACTTCACTTAGAAGCATAAATGAGTACAAAAAGAAAGTATGTAAATGTGCTTTGAGTAACCATGATTAGCCACTAAAGCATTAACTTTGTGGGACAGAAAAAAAAATTAAATTTAAAGAGAGACAAAATTACTTCCAAAAAAGGGTTTGCTGAATTTTTAAACAATCTTTAAAACAAAATTACTTCCAAATAAAGTTTACTGAATTTTTAAACAGTTTGCAGACTTTTTTATTGATTCTATGAAAAAGTTGGGAATTTAATTTTGTAAAAAGAAAAAGACTATGGAAAAGATTTCAACATTCTATTTTGTAATGATTGCATTTAATATGTTACAAATTTCAATACAACTTCTCAAATTATTCAAACCATATTTGAAATGATTTGTTATTGACGAAGATAAATGTGTAAATATTTATTGGAAAAAGTAAAATAAAGAGTCAAAATAGAGATTATTGCTGGAGTGTATAAAATATTTTTCTCTTTAAATTTAATTTTTTTTCCGTACATAATATACTTTTTATAAATAGTGGGTCTTTTGGAGTTACTCTTACTCATAATTAATTGAATAATATTGGATATTGAAATTAAGAAAGAAAAAAATTCTAGAATCTTATTCGATATGTAACTTAGTACAATCTAATATTACATACTAAATATGCATGTACGATATACTAATCGGTAAAATTGATATTTGTAAAAAGGGAGAGGGAGAATTTTTTTTATGGTAAGAAATTCATTCATTTCGGTTATATTAATATTTAATTGAATGGCCCTTATGTATGGGGAAAAGACTGGATATTAATATTTTTTTACTAATTAAAAATAGTGCTTTCTTAGTCTAAATCCAAAAGTAGCTCGAAGGTTTGAAAATAAAACTTTGTGTTGATTAGGACTTTTATAAAGCATTACAAATAAGGCTTAAAAATTGTTCTTTTAACTATAAAATGTGTTCCTATCATGTGAGTATTTGAAGTTAGCTAAGCAAAATTGTGCTAGAAATTTCATTTCTCGTACTCATTTTTAACCATACATTCACATAATAAAATATTTTAAACGTAAATTCAAAATTTTTCTTACATTTTAATCACACATGTTATAAAAAATCACTATTCAAAACATTATTTTTTTCCCTAATTTCTCTTTATGATGGCCATCAAACGGATGCTTAATTGTATCTATTTAATTTTGGTAACATTTACCCATTCATTGTAAAAAAGCCATGTTTGACTCCCATTGAAACAAAACTTTTTATTTCTCATTTTCATTTTTAACTATACATTCACCTAATAAAATATTTTACACATAAATTCAAAATTTCTTCTACATTTTAATCACAAATTCTACAAAAAAATTATTATTCAAAATATCACTTTTTCTAATTTCTCTTTATAATGACCATCAATCAGAGGCTTAATTGTATTATATTTAATCTTGGTAACATTAGCCCACTGATTATAAGAAGAATAAAATTGTTTGCACAGGTCATTTATATCGGTGTTGAGATGACAGCACTTGAATGCATATTGCATTGTGCCTATTTGGCCACTCAATTGGCAGTCAATCTGAAACTGGTTTATAAAAACACTAAATTGCATGTGTAGTATTTACGTTTGAGTTAGCCCATATTTGATTTAACTAAAAAAATTGATAAAATATCTAAACTAAAATCAATAATTAATTTTAACCGTACATATCATGAGATCTACAACTTTTATCAACTTTTCAATCGTACGTTTCATCTACTTTAATTAAAATCTACCAAAAATTTAATTTTTAGCAAAACCAAACAGGAGTGAAATTTTTAGATCAAGTGATAGATGGTACAAGAGTTCATTAAACTCGAACGAAGGGATGGATATTGATTTCAAGATTGACATGCTCAAACGTGCCGTTATCGTGTGGGAATATGTTGTGGGATAAAATATTAACTAAAATGTAAGTACTTGGGCTATACCCCTCTTAACAAGCATCTTTTCCCTCTTTCATATTTTCTCAATATTGTCTCTGATAATGCCAATTTTGGAAGGAAACTGAACAATGGTGAAAGTGCAGGTTGAAGAATTAAATGTCAGGAAAAAAAATTTTGACAGACCAAAGTGAAACCAATGCTAAATGTTCCGCATAAGCAATTTATCCATCAATATGTTTGCAATCAGGCTAAAGATGTGCCTGACTAACATAAAAGCACCAAAAAGTAACAAGTGCAAAGAGAAAACAGTCCATTCATAAAAATGAACTCCATATATAATCAATAAGTTGGCACAGATAAAGGTGGAGGTGGCTGAGCTTATTGCACTCAGCGAGGGACTTCTACTGTTATATAAGACATTCCTCTGGATTTCTTTGGTTGAATGTGATTCCTTCCGTGTGGTTCAGAGTCTATAGAATGTAGATAACCTTGTGCTGAATGCAGATGTCCCTATTCGATGTTTCAGCTTTACTTCTTGTTATGAGTTGTGACTTTCGTCCTTTTGTTCTCAAAGATGAGAACAAAGTGAACTACTAGTTCACCTCTTTTTCTTTTCATATTAATGACGTAACTCGTTGGACTCATTGTCTGCTGTGCTTTCTTTTGACTGCAATTCACGACGATATTCCTTAATGAAATTGTTGCAATTGGCAATAAAAAAATAGTTGGGAAAGAAAAAAAAGGAAAGTTCTAGTTCCTAAGAAAATAAGGAGTACATGTTGCAGGAGTAACGTTATCCTGTTTTAAGTTGAAGCTTCTTTTTGAAATATCATTACTCTTCCATTCCCGGCTCTCCAGTTATATATTGGAGTATAATTTGTTCTGTTCCCATCAAGTTTGGAAAAACACAAGCCTACATTGTCAGTGTCCAAATATGTCGGCCTGCCAATGCCTTGGCCTAGGCATGGCTCAGCTCAACACGGCCACCTGGCGGCCATCCCAGGCCCAGAATTTTAAACAAGGTCATGCCGAGCTGAGGGTGGCCCAGTACAAACCTCCCGTAAGGGACCAACACAAATCAACGGACACCTCATTTCTCTATCTGTTTTATCTATAGGTCCAACTATCCAACTTTAATATGGAGTTTCTTGGACTAAGAATCTGTAGTTTTCAACACAATGGAAACTGTATATTCCACGTGCACATTCATATAAGATCCATTTTGAGTCATCTCAAGTCCAATAAACTGATGATAAAATCTGCTAGACCTCGAAATGATTAGTAGTGACAAGAACCACAAACAGGATAACAATATAATACTGGCTTACAATTAATCCAGATAATCTTGTTAACAATACTAAAATCTGAAGGAATGACAAACCTTTGACATCGACAGAAACATAGCAAGAATTACATATGCAATTGGAGAAAACAATATGTAGATTTTCTTAAAGAAAAGAAACTATTGTGAGAAAGGCAAACAATATATTTGTTACAGGAAGAAATTAGGCAGCTTCCTTCAGTTTCTTGGTGACTGTGGCAATGTATTTCCCCTGGTGGAAAGCTTGCTGTAATTCAAGCTCTGATGGTTGTCTTGAACCATCACCAGCGTAGGTTCCAGCACCATAAGGACTTCCACCTTTTACTTTCTCCATGTCGAACATGCCGGCTCCAAATGTATATCCAATGGGCACAAAGAGCATTCCATGGTGAACAAGCTGAGTGATAGCAGTTAACCTGCAAAAAATCCCAGAT